TTTTTTAAAAATTTATTAAGGAAAATTGATACTTTCAACTTTTTCCCAAAAATATTTTTTTGAAAACTTTTATTTTCAAGGAAAATTGATACTTTCAACTTTTTCTCAAAAGTTGATTTTTGAAATTTTATTTTTAAGAAAAATTGATACTTTCAACTTTTCCTCAAAAATATTCTTTGGAAACTTTGATTTTCAAGGAAAATTGATACTTTCAACTTTTCCTCAAAAATATATTTTTTTTATTTTTATTTAAAGAAAATAGAATAATGAAACAAAATAAAAGTGAAAATAAATAAAAATAAAAAAATAAAGAAAAGTAAAACAAAAATAAAAATAAAATAAAGATAAAAAGAATATTAAATAAACCTAATCTAATAAATAAATAAAATAAATAAATAAATTCAAAAAAAAACCTGGAGTGGCTCGAAGTACGGTTCGGCTCGGCTCGACTCAAGGAAGAGAAACGGCTCGGAGAAGTGGCTTGAGACCTCGGCTCGACTATCGACTCGACTATCGGCTCGGAGGGGGAAGACACGCGCGGGTCAAGAAGCGGGTCGACGCTCGGGTCAGGTCGGATCTCGACAAAACGTGCGGATCCTCTGGGTCACTTAAGGTAAAAACGACGTCATTTTGGGAGGGTATATAAGGCTCTTCCCTCTATTTTTCGACAGAAACCTTCTCCCTTCTCTCTCTCTCTCTTCTTCTTTTTTCCTCTCGCTTCTCTCTAAAAGGCCGAAGAACTCTGGTTGAATATTCATCGGATTTTGGAAAATTTCATCGAAATCTGGATTTTTAACCGGAAGTTCACCGGAAAGTTGGTCGGTTTCTGGTTCCTTTGTCGAAAACTGGGCAGCTCGTCGAAAACTTCAAAGTTGGCCGGAATCGTCGTCGAAAAATGCAAGTTTCACCGAAAAATTCAACCAAAATCTGAAATTTTCCAGAAATTCCTAGAAAAAAAATCACCAAAAATCTTCAAAAAATTTATGCTAACTCTCAGAACACTTCTAAACTTTTTCTTAGCCTTATATACTCTTTTATACGCCTCTTTTTCTCAAATTAGTAGCTTTTTGCTCACTGGTTTTCTATGTCTGTTTCTGTGTTCTTCGTTCTGTTTCAGAGGTTCCTTTTTATAGGAATTGATCAGAAGAGTTTCTGATCAATCTCAACTCCTCTTTGGATCGGGATTCAATCATTGAATCCAGCATGGACTCTTCTGATTGAATCCTAATCCAATTTCCAGCCAAATAAATCAAAGAAAATAAAAAAATCAGATAAATCAGATAAATAAAAAAAATTAATAGATAAATTAAAATTAAATAACAGATAATATAATCTGATATACATATAAATTTTAAAAAAAATTAATAATAATAATAAAGATATATACATATTAATAAATAAGTAAATACCTAAGATAAAAATAAAAGAAAAAAAATATAAAAAACAATAAAAATAATAAAAATAAAAATAAAAATAGAAATAGAAATGTGAAATACAAAAAATAATAATAATAAAAATAATAAAAAAATATAAACTTACCTATTTAAGTCAGATCCAATTGATCCGAGTCTGGACTAAATTGAGTGTCTACACTAATGATCAACATTTAAGTCAGCTCAATATTATAAATTATCTCTAACCATAAAGCTAGCTTCAAACGGTTTAAATTATCTAAAATTTTTCACCTTCTAATTATAAATAAAATCATCTAGATATCATATAAATATCTTGCATTCTTCTACTTTTCATATTCTCTTTCATACTTTCTTCTTTAGTCAATTTTTGGCTTAAAAATTATATGATATATATCCATCTACATATCATTATCTACATCCAGAAAATCTTATGCTTTGGAAGAAATTTATACAATTTGAGAAGGAATTTTGATTGTTCAAAAAGAGGAATCTACTTCAACCGATATGCCCTTAGACACGCCCATACATAACATAAAAATCACACTTGGAAAGGGTGGATAATTAGCTACAACAACAGGTGCTGCAACGAAACTAATTGCAAAAGAGAGAAAATTTGCCACATTAAAATTATTTTATGGGAAGGCCCATTTGATATCCAAAAATTGCTCAACAACTGTCAGACAAATGGAGAATGTTAGGGTGAATAAAAAAAAATTTCGATAGAACTAGATCTAAATGTTAAGTATCGAAACACAAACGTTAAAAATATTTTTAATTTTTGCTCTTAATTATTCTCTCTTTTTTTCTTATAATCTTAAATTTTTATTTTTTCAACTCAACTCAGTATGAATGAGTAACATTTTAAATTTATCATTCATTTTATATACCCAACTTTCATTTTCTAATCCTAATTTTTATTTATTACATGCAATTTAAAATTTTATTATCTCATTATCAAGATGTACCCGTTAACCTTGTGAATTATAGCTGTATTTATATATATATATATTTAAATTTATTAAAAATTTATTTTTGATTGTTAAAATTAAAAATTTAATACTCTTTTAATAAATTACAAATAAATTGCTGATTATCATAGCATTTTTCACGTGGGAATAGTTTGTTTTTATTCACGATAAATATGACTCGCAAATTTTTTGCTATATTCATCCAATTTCTAACACTTTTGAATTTCAAGGGAAACGCAATAATTGAAGTTCATTGTTTTTTTTGTTTTTTTTTTTTTGGCCTTGTCCTTTGAAGTCACATTAGTCCTCTGTTACATAGAGTCGTTTCCATGGAAAAAAGAGCTTGCCCAAAACAAGTAAGAAATGTTAAACAATTTCTTAATTATGGATTAATTAACATCTATATCTAAATTTATGTTATTTACATGTCAAAATCTACATTTCAAAATCAATTATACGACTTGAAAAATTATTTTTTTAATTTAAAAAATAATTAAGTTCAAGTTTATTTGTTATTATAATAGATTAAGCTCTCTCAATTTGATAATTGAAAAAATTAAACTTAAATTTTAATTATTGAATCAAATTTAAATAATTTATTAATAATTATAGTTTACACTTTATATAAAATAAATCATTCTAATAAATCATGATAAGATAATTAATTAAAATTTATAAATCAATGATATTAACACTTCAAATTAATATCTCTTAAAATCAAATGATAAGACTCAAAAGGTCAATATCTGCATTTATCATCGATATAAATGAGTACAAATTATTGAGGCAGGCTTTTGGTATGGCATGTGGGCTATTCTTTTCGTGATTGTTTCTGGAGATATTTTTCAGTTTTCATGTGGACGGTGGATGGAGTTGAATAATGAGTGGTCGAAATTTTTTTTGAAATTGGTGAGACATATGAGTCAATAAAATTGCATGAATGATTGAGATGAATATATTTTTTCTTTTTTAATTTTATTTGTGGACATTTTGCATCTCATCAAACGGAACATAAAAAAAATACAATTTGATACGTAAAATTCTTTTTATTTATGAGTTTCAAAGAAAATCCATATTTTTATAAAATATATATAATTAATTTTCAATCTCATATGAGATATCATTTTTAATTTATAATATGAGATATCATATTATAAATTCTACTATAATTACTTACCACTGAATCAATAGCTCGTTGGTTGCTCGCACTTTCCTTTGAGATATCTAAGATTAATACTTAAATAATTTAATCTGTAAATAAAAAATATTTAAAAAAATTATAATGCAAAAAATTAAAAGATGAATGAATGAAAAAGGAAAATAAGCATTAAATTTTAGTATTATAAGTATATGAATATTTACATTAATTGATAAGAGTACTTCTTTTAATTATGAAGTATCAACACAACAATAAATATATGAAGGGTGGCTTCACCTAGAGATATCTATATTAAAAATTGAATTAAATGTTGTGTTCTTTTTATGACTCTAGAAAAGAAAACGAAACAAAAGTCAAAGTTTTTTTTTTTTTTTTAAAATGCGGCCATCCCATTTCTTAGAACAAAACAATTTAATTTATAAGTTGAAAATTTTATTTTATCAAAAATAAAAAAATTAGTTGAGTAAAATCAACCCAAAAAATAATTTTATGTGAAATATTAATTTATCATCTGCCTTTGTGCTAATTTTCACGATTTAATAAATAGAAAAAAAGAGATGAACGAAAAAACCACATGGAATGAAACATTATCAATATGAATTTTTATCATCTCAGTAATTTTCTAAAACATGTAATATATAAGCTACCCACTTAAATTTATATATATATATATAATATACATATTAATTTAATAAATCTTATGTTTAATTAAATCTAAATAATAAAAACAAAAAAAAATGACCTACCTAATTGAATGACAAATGTCATTCCAATTAGGTTTTAATTAATCCAATTGTTTCCTTAACTTTGCTTGACAACAGCTTTAATATATTTCTATTGCTAGCTAAATTTTATTAGAAATGTAATTACTAAAACTTTTAAACTTCTTGCATTATTTGCATATTATAGACACAATTAATTAATTCTAGCAAAATAAAATTTATTTTTTTTCAAAATTTCATACACACTTATTTATATATATGAAAATTTGTAAAACATAAAAAAATTTACATTATTAAACTTATTTATATGTTTGACTCGATTTAAATCGATTTTTGAATAAAAGTTTTCAATCTCATATCCAATTTAATTAAAAGTTTTTTATTTTTATAAAAATATTAATTTTAAAAATAAATGAGATAAGAGAGTTTGGACGGGCATTTAAAAAGATCTCAATCACGCTCGATATGTTTGGTTTGTTCGAAAAGGAAAGTTTGGAGGGGACCAAGCATCGACGCTGGCATTAATCCATAAAAGGGATAGCCGGATAGGGACACGTAATAGCTAGCCATATTGTAACCTCGTGAAACTAAAAACCTTGTTTTTTTTTTCCTTCTCTTAATAAAGAAAAAAAAACGTATTTTGTCTTTTTAAAAAAAGATATTAATATATCAGTCATTTTCATCAAATTAAATAAAAAAAATACAGTTATAATTTATGTTATATCTAATAAGCAATTCTTTTAGCTTGCAAATTGCAACTGGCTCTCTGTCTATATATATATATATGGTTGACAGAGTGCAAAGAGCAGAAAAGAGGGGTGAAGAAACATGGCTAGTAAACCAGGCATTCTCAGTGATTGGCCATGGCAATCTATGGGAAACTTCAAGGTACGTACCTTGTCTCACCCTCCTTTTATTTCTTTTCCAAAATTAAAATAATAAAAAATTGAATCTTAATTATTAAAATTAAAAATTTAATATTCGCTGTTAATATAAAAACCCTTTTCTGTTATGATATAAGGTATGAATCTTAAAATTTCTTAAGTTTGTGAAAATAAGTTTTAATTCTGCTTGAATAATTAAAAATTTTGCAGTATGGTCTTCTGGTTCCTGGGGCAATTTACAGCACCTACTCATTCATAACCTGCAAAGCAGAAAATGAGAGGAACCTGTTCATGTTCCTCATCTTCCCGTTTCTGGTGTTTAGATTGGTTCATTATCAACTCTGGATTTCTTACTCTCGCTACCGAACTGCCAAAGGAAAAAACAGGATTGTCGACAAGAGCATCGACTTCGACCAAGTTGACAGAGAAAGGAGTTGGTAATAATTTTTTGCATTTTATCTTTTTTTTTTTTTAACCTAAGAGATTATCAAGATTTTTTGCCAACAACGGTTAACAGAAATGGTAAGGGACGAATATTGAGTGAATTAGATCCAAATATTCCTATAGTTTCTCATCAGTAAACAATTTGTAAATTTAAAAAATTCACAGGTGAAAGTTCAATGAAATCACAGATCTAAATTAAATTAACGGCTTAATCATTTGTTTCTAAACTTTGTTTTTTTTGACAAAAAAATCACTTTATATTATATATGATTTTCTCTTTTTATATAATTTCAAATATTAATTATTTGAGAAATCATTTAAATTTGAAGTCTATCAAATTTTTATATAAGTATTTTTTCTTCAAATTACTTAATATACCATGAGGAAATTTTAAAATTCTACTGACAAACTTAGAGAATTATCATTTATCACGTACTGTATTAAGATATATAGAAAAAATTTTAATTATATATAAAAATACATAACAATTTTTTAATTTTGCTTTTGGTGTTTTAAAAAGTGTCCCTATAAGTGAATATATTATTAAAGATTTAAATATAAATTATTGAAGTGGAATTTAATTTTAAAATTTAAGGGTTCTTATTTTTTAAGACTCAAAGTTTGAATTTCTATTTTTAGAATCTCGTATATCTTTATTTGTCTAACAAGGTTGGCATTTATGAGGCCTAATAGATTCAGATTCACAAGATAAACCTTTAATTATTATTATTATTATTATATAAAAGAAAATAATATACGTTTGTCGGCAGTCAAACGGTCGGACATCTTGTAGCACGTGCTGTAAGCTAACAGAATATAATTAGTTTTCTTCGAATTTTTTATCTCCAAACATTAGTTTTAATGACACGACAACTAATTCAAATATCAATCAATAAATAATTTTAAATTTTAAGTAAAATATTCTATGCATGTGAATTCAAAATTTAATATAATTAATTTAAACAATCATTTTTAAAAAATAACATTTCATAAATTTAAAATTTAAAATTTATATTCTTTTCTCGTATTATCATGCAATGATATTTATTATAACAAAAAATAAAATATGAATATAGGACATGATGTATTAATAGATATATTTAGCATAAAAAATATTATAATATTATAATATATATTTAAATTTATACTTGTGAGATATTTTTTATGAAATAAAATCATAAAATCTCGTATATTAAATGTGAGTATTTATATTTTCTATACAATTTGTATTCTAAATTCTTAGAAGGGATATATATATATATGTTTTGGCAGGGATGATCAGATTATATTGAATGGACTTTTGTTCTACGGGGCAGGCATAGTCTTAAAAGATCAATTTAACATGCCCTTCTTCAAAGCAGATGGCACACTAATCATACTGCTACTTCACTGGGGTCCTGCTGAGTTCCTCTACTACTGGCTTCACCGAGCATTGCACCACCATTACTTCTATGCTCGCTACCACTCCCATCACCATTCTTCCATTGTCACCGAGCCGAATACCTGTAAGCCAATTAATTTATCATTCTTCTTTGTTCCATCAGTAATAAATCTTTTACTATGCCTAAATCAAATTGTCATAAGGATCATGCAACCTTATTTGGATTTTTTTCAAAAAATTACAAATTAAAAATTGAATCTGATCATTAAAATTAAAATTCCAATCCATATCGGCTTTGTCGAAATTAAATTCTTTTAGCCTCTTTAGCATATCCCTTTCTAATTTATATGTAAATATTTTGTTTGGCAGCGTTTGTCCACCCATTCGCAGAAGTACTTTCGTATTATGGGCTCCTTCTGATACCAACATTGACATCGGTATATATTGGAAAAGCTAACATTGTGGGAGTGTTTACTTACGTTACTGTTATTGATTTCTTGAACAACATGGGGCACTGCAACTTCGAGTTCATCCCCAAATGGGCCTTCACCATCTTCCCTCCTCTCAAGTATATTGTTTACACTCCTTCGTAAGTCTCTGTTCTCTAATTCTTCTCTAACATGCAACTGCAACGGATTTGGAACTTAAGCCTATTCATATATGGGTGAAAATCAAATTACATTCATATAATAATATATGATGGTATGACAGGTTTCACTCGCTACATCACACTCAATTTCGGACCAATTACACACTTTTCTGTCCACTCTATGATTATATCTATGGCACCGTCGACAAGTCGACAGATACTGTGTATGAAACTGCTCTAAAAAGAGAGGCAGAGTCACCGGACGTGGTTCATCTGACTCATCTAACCACGCCGGACTCCATCTACCATCTGCCCCTTGGATTCCCTTCCTTGTCCTCCAAGCCCCAAACTTCCAAATGGTACCTCCTGTTTATGTGGCCTGTCACCCTCTGGTCTGTGCTCTTGACTTGGATTTTTGGCCATGCCTTTATTTCAGAGAGGAACACCTTTAAAAAACTCAAACTTCAAGCTTGGGTTGTTCCCAAATACAATATGCAAGTAAGAAACATGTTTTACTTGGATAGTTATCTTGGCATTTGTTTCTTTGAAGTGTTAATTACTTGTATTTTAATCTACATATATGTTTTTTTCCTATAGTATTTCTCAAAATGGCAAAGAGAAACTATCAGTAAATTGATTAGGGAAGCCATTGAAGATGCAGATAAAAAAGGAGCTAAGGTGCTAAGCTTAGGCCTTTTGAATCAGGTATGTCAAGTTTTTTTTGGTATTCAGGGTTGTCAGATCAAAGATTGAATCTTAAAATTAAGAGTCCAACACTCAACAACATACCACAAATGCAACTTTTAAAATTTCAATGCCTACATATTTCTAACTCAAAGAATTATGTTTATTTTTTCAGAAACTTCTCAAATTTAACCCTTTTTTTTTAAATATTCAGCGTGAGGAGTTTAGCGGAAATGTAGAGCTGTACATAAAAAAGAACCCTCATCTTAAAATCAAGGTTGTAGATGGAAGCAGTTTAGCAGCAGCTATTGTTCTAAACAGCATTCCTAAAGAAACAACCCAAGTACTACTTAGAGGCAGAATTTCCAAGGATGCTTGTATCTTGGTCCAAGCTCTATGCCAAAAGGGTATCAAGGTAAACTTCCAAACCCTTTGAAAAGCTATATGATCAAAGCATCAAATTAAGGGACTTGAAAGAATTTGTGTTCAGCAGGTGCTGACATTGCAAGAGGATGAATACAAGAAGCTGTTAAAGTATGATAACAAGCTTGAAAGTAATTTGGTACTTCCAAAAAGATATGATGTGAAGGTAAAATGTCTAATTGGCTTAATCATTGAATTTTCCAATGGCCTTTTTTTTTTTATAATATTCACATGCTGATTTTCTTGTGTTGATATATTTTTGCAGGTATGGTTGGTGGGAGATGGACTGACTGAAAAAGAACAGTCCCAGGCACCAAAAGGAACATTATTCATTCCATTTTCCATATTTCCACCAAAGAAAGTTCGCAAAGACTGCTACTATCATACCACACCGGCTATGGAGGCTCCTAAATCTCTGGAGAACATGCACTCTTGTGAGGTTAGTAGTTGCTTATTTGACAAAATTTTCTTATCCAACGGAAACTAAAAGGTTAATTACACAAAAACAACAGAGTCAAGAAATGAATTTGTTGAAGATGAATTCAACAGCATGGCCATTGGATTTTCCATTTAGATCATCCTTTCTATTTATTTGTATAATACATTTAACATTCAAAACAAAAAATGATACAGGACTGGTTGCCGAGAAGGGTGATGAGTGCAAGCCGTGTGGCTGGGATAATACATGCTTCAGAAGGGTGGGACGTTAACGAGTGCGGCGGCACCATTTTTAGCATTGACAAAGTTTGGGAGGCTAGTCTTGAGAATGGATTTCGCCCCTTGTCAACCTCCGCCTAATCAAAATCTAGGCTTGGTATTAGCCTATGGCTTTGGAGTAATTATGTAGTAATTAACTATGTATGAATATGAACTTCCATCTTCCTTGTATCTTATGAAGTCTAACAGGTTGATTTCCTTGTGTATGGGAATAATTTGCCTTGTATGGGATTATGTTTTTCATTTTCCTTTCTCTTGAAGCCAGTAGGATTCGGGTGCCTAGGAATTCAACATTTAAGTCGATCAAAATATAATTTAAAGTTCTAGACCAAAGATAGTAAAAACAAACTAATCAAATACATCTTGTGAACATGGAAATAGAGGGTTATTCTCCAAGCAAAAGTTGCCTGAAATTGCTTCACATGAACTTTTTTCATGAATCAAGTGACCACCATCAGGGGCTTCAAGGTACTACATCGAGGGTAGCTTTCTTGGAAACGAATCGTTGCAATTCAAATGGAACAACCTTGTCTTCATGACCTCCCCACAAGTAAACATAGGTTTCTTTGTTTGGAAATGGATTTTTCAGCTGCATTGGATCAAATTCCCAAGTCCCAAAATGTACTATCAGATCCACGTGAAGGGATTAGTAAACGCCTTGCTGTCGTTTCTTACGCTGTCCCCACACGATCCATTGCCATCCATGTTTATGGGTCAACCACCAATGTAACAGTCCAGGGAAGTGGTGTGCTGTTGAAAGCTTCACTTGTTCACTTTTAAGCTGTCTTTTTAAGGGAAGTGGCATAAAACTACCTACCTTTAAAATTGACTATTGTAAAGGGTTCCAAAACAAAATCGTCACTGGACAAAATTTGGAGGACCACTCGTTTAATAGCCTGTCACCCGAAAGCCAGAAAAATCACATCCCTCTCTTTCCCTTGCAGACATGTCAAAAGGAAGCCTATCAACTTCTTGTTACCTAAATCCATATTTGTGTTAAATTGGATGACCAATTATTCTAAAAGCTTAAGATGATAGGAATGAGTTCAACCATTCCATTAAAGTTCTAACATGAAGTTCGTATAAGAATCCATAAGTGTAGAAAGAAAGTACAAGTTGAAATAAAAATTAAGAAACATTACATAGCTTAATGGACAGCAAGGCATTCGATGAAGAAATATTAAAAGGGAAAAATATTTTTTGGATTCGAACTCGAGATTTTAGTATCACGTTAAATTAAATGCTCATTGATCAATTATCCTGAAAGCTTTGTATTTAAGTTCTAATGCTTTGGAACAAATGAGAGAAGGAAACGAAAGAAAGAAAAAACAGGAAAAGATTAATTTAACAGATCTTCGAAGTATATAATGCGGGATTGAGCATTTATAATCTTCTAGCTAGACTAGTGAAATTATACATGTGACATAGTAAAGGCTTCCACCATTCCCCAGTAAGTTTAAACAGTTTCAAATGAAAGCATCGGAGAGCGGCAGCAAATGCAACACAATTTCATTATTGAAAGTCATAAGGTAAACAACAATTATGGTGTCATGGAGCCAATTGAACTGGCGCAATCTTGGTAGATTTTTGACAAAATTTTGGAGGACCACCGACCACTTGCAGGACTCCAAGGGGGCCAGGGCCCAGGGGCTCTAGCTGGAAAAAACCTCATATATCCCTCTCTTCCCTTTCATGTCTTCAGACATAAATGTGTTGCGTAAAAGGGGGGGACCCTATCACCATGTCCTGACAAAAGATACTAAGCTCAAGGAAGGAAAGGCTTGATTTTAGACATAGTTCGTCACTGAGATGCAAATAAGGCTTCAATTCTATGTTAAACTCAAATGCCCGACATAAACTCGTTTCTTTTCAAGTTTGAGGAAGCAGTGTCAAACCCAAATGTCCCAACAAAAAAAAATTCAAATGAGCTCTCAATCCCTGATAAGCAGCAGGTGATCCAACCACACCCTTGAACAGTTCACTAAATAAAGAAAAATCACACATGCAAGAAATTGAATAGTTCACTAAACAAAGTACAACATTGAGTGCAGCACATATAGATCTTAGTATAAGATTTGAGTTCTTATCCGTGCAAAAGTTCCCGTAAAACAGCTTCACAGTTTTTGCTGTCAAAAATCAGAAGGTGCCCAGCATCAGGAACCTCATGGTAATGAATCCAAGAAAGCTTTTCTGAGAGATAACGATTTATTTGATATGGAATGATTCTGTCCTCATAACCTTGCCAAACATGGACTGAGCCCTCATTGTCAGGGAAAGGATTAACTAGATCCATGGGATCGAATTCCCACTTTCCATAACTGACCATTATATCTCGATGCAGAGATTCATAAACACCTTGTTGTCGAATCTTTTCCTGCAGTCAGACATATAGCTAAGCAACATCAGTTGGAAACACTTGCAGTGAGAATAAGCCAGTTAAATAATTTATGTATTCGAGGAACAAATGTCTAAGAAAGTAGCATTATAGAAAATCATGTGATTGTAGAATCTTGTTTTCATTTTTAGCCGCTATATGTTTGATGAGGAACAAATCCCTCTTTCGAGAAGGTTCTGCAATATAAGTCCGGTGACACTAAGCATCACATTACTCAAATATTTTAGGAATGCAATAATAGATAGCAGTTTCTGTCTTTCTTATGACAAATCAATTTATAAGAACTTAACAACCTGACCAACATTTGGGGCTTCTGACCACTTCTCCAAGATCTTCAAATCACTTTGGCTAAATATTGCCATGTTACCAGCCATAATGCTCAATGAAGAGAACCATTTCTGGGTCATCCACCAGTAGAATAACCAAGGGGTGTAATGGGCAACTCGAAATGACCATTGGTCCTGTGCAAGCAACCTGTTGAACGCCTCACTTGATAAATTGGCAGGAAGACAAGGCCACCAGTAGTGGACAAAAGGAACCACCAGAGAAGCTCCTGCCAATCTGTAAATAAGAAAAAAAGTCATTGCCAGAGTAGCTCCTTACCTTTAGTATAATTAGAAAACAAGAATTCTGCAATGACAAAAAGAAGAAAAACATAGGAAGCTTGTAAGTTGTAAACAAATTGAGCAACATGCCTATGAGGTATGTATTTTAAGCAACTGTAAATAGGGTAGGCTCCCAATGAAATCCCAATCACATAAAACTTAGAACCGATCTGCAACTTGTCAGCTAATTCTTGAACATCATATGCTTCACTCTTCACTGAGCGTGATGGATTTGGGTCACTGTCTCCATAACCTGCTCTGTCGAAGAAGAGGAAATAGATCTTGAGGTCCTCTATAAGTTCCTGAAAATGAAACCATAATGCTAAATTAGCAACTAAAATTGTGTTCCATTTACTCTTCTTTTCATACCGAACCTTATCATCTGATCCTAGGCCATGCTCTACATACTGGCCCAGCAATCTTGTTGCCAGGCATAACATTTTGCTAACTCTTGCCTTGAGTAAAATCTTGTTCACTCTTCTTTTTTTGTCAGTATCTATTCAATCCCAAGCAGCTTGTTCATACAACATGCTGAATAATTTGGCATATGCTGTTGTTATCCAGAATGCGGATAAAATGCCAACCAAAATTGATCAAAACATTTGTGTTCCTAGCACTATTTACAGAGAATGGATAAAAGAGCTCATAAACATATTTTCTAGCCTGTCTTAATATTGCAAACTTGCATTCATCCTTCCATATCAATTCAGAAGTAACAAAGTAAAACTTCCAGCAACAAGTTTAGATAAATACATGATAAGGTGTGCAAAATTTTAAACAATCAAAAGTTCATACTTGAGGAGCAGGTAAATTCAGATCTTTGGAGCTGTCAAAGCCATGAATGACAACAATTTTGTGCTTTGCCTCTTCCTTTGGAACTCCGGCTTCCCTGTAAGCCAAATGCCTCCCATCACTGAACTTAACTCTAGGAGAAGTTACAGGAGGCCCATCTGGTGAGCCACATATCTTCGGAGGGGGTGGCTTTGTTGTCTGATAAGCCCATCCCAGGAGACCCACTGTCAAAGCTACCACTATAGGTGCAATCATTGCTGCAAAGGGAGAAAAAAACCATACAATCCATTATATCAGGAAGAATTTAACAAAGAAAGATAGAGTTACACTGTCAAAGCCAACGTTTTGTCCATCTAAGTATCTATCTTTTTCTTGTGAAATTTTAAAGCAGACACAACTCAGAGAGCGAAAGAGTCACTTTTGTACCCAAAACATGGATTGCTTTCCAAATTCTGGATCATATAGATTCAGCTAGCTCTTCACCGAACAAGGGGGTCTAAGGGGAAGCAGAGCGCTTATATGCCTAAAACATTGGTGATTTTCAAATTCTCTAGTATGCACAAACCTTGGGGCTTTTTTAAATATGTATATTTGAAACTCAGTTAACAGACAAAATCCGGTTAAAAATATCCATCACTAAAGTTTTCTTTTAGTAATTCCAATCTTAAGTGTTTCTATTGGATGGAGTCCTTTCTTCTAAATGCACAAAAATATTTGTTATCTTTTTTTTTTTTTCTTTTTGGGATCAATGAAATTTCATCAACCAATACTAAACCAGGAACCTGCTAAGACTACTAGAATTACAGCAGAACATGAAAGAAGCAGCAAAAGCAACAGCAGCTGCAAAAGTATCAAAGCTAGCTGCAGACCAGTTCTCCAACTTACACAATTAGTTTGGAATCTGCCGAAATTTAGAGAAAGCACAATCATACAAATCCCTGTAATTCATATTACAATCCAAACTTGCATCTTCTAAATAACAACCAAATCAAAATAAAAAGTTTATTGAAGAGCCAGTAACTAACAATGGAAAAACATTCTTTGACTTCTCAAAGCAATGAATTGATCCCAAATAAATATATACCCAGAAATTCTTACAAACAGTTAGATAAAAAAAAAAGCTGAAACAACAAAAGGAAATTAAAAACCCAACCTGGAAATGAACTGGATTTAGCTCGGTTAGTTCTGGTGTGAGCACTGGCAGATGCAGCTGAGATCTTCTTCTTGATGTGGCCACTTGTCATTTCTAGTTCACAGAGTAGAGGAAAATTTCTTGAAAAAGACACGTGCCAGAATCTGATCCACAGGGGCAGGGCTCACTGTTTTAGATAGTGCCAAATGATATTTATTCGAGTTTCCAAATTGCAGCAAGGATCGTGCACTGCATGCACCAAAAATAATACAACTACAATTAGTTTCCAAGATTGTTGTACTTTGACCCGTTGTCCCAACGGTGGTAAGATTGGAGTAGTTGTTTTGAAGTTTAGAACTTTGAAGCATGTAAGATTTGTACCAGTTAGATAATGATTTCAAGATGATACATCATTTTAATAAAATTACTTTTTTATATACATATATATATATATATATATATACATGAAAATTTGTTAAATTTTAATTATAAAATAGGGTAAAATGCAACTTGGAGGCCTCTTTCAATTGGCATCCATGACAGTGAAACCCGCCTATTGCAGAATGAGAATTAACGGTCAGCATGGAAGGTTGAAGCCCTGATTATGTGAAATGGGCAGATGAGGGCCTAGCCCATTTTGCAAGGAAAGAGAGATTGCCCAATGCTGAAACTCAATCAACTGCAACTTTACTTGCTTTCACGTGGAACAATTTCTCAAGCTGAAACACCCTTGAATCACTGTTTGCTTTGTCTTGTACATATTGTAACAGAAATTCCTGCTTTCTTTGGATAAGCTGATTGAGCTGAGCTAAAATAATAAAAAATTTTCTAAACTTTATCATATTATTTAAATAAATTTTTATATTTTTATTGTAGGCAAATAGCTTTTTAACTCTTAATTTATATCTAAATAAGTTTTTAACTTTTAATTTGTATTTAAATAAAATTTTAATTTTTAATCTAATCTAATCTAATCTAGTATATATATTATATTACAGAATACATGGATACCTATAAGGTATGCCACGTAGATACTTACATGGATAGCCTATATTTTTGACATGTAAGATAATAATTTAATTTAAAATTTTAACCAAATAATCTCATTCAATAATTATTTTATTTTTAAAAATATTTAAATATTTAAAAAATAGATTTATTTTAATATTTCATGAGTTTTATTTTAATTTAAATGAAATAAAATTTATCCAAAACTCACTTTTTTCAAATACATTTAGAATAAAATCAATAATTTTGTTATTTCTTTTTTAAAATGAACTATTAAATCATTTATATATCTTTTTTTAAATTTTAAAAAATATATAATTTAGATTTATCTCTAACAATCTAGAGGTATGATCTCTTTTTAAATATATATAAGTTAAATATATCTATTTTAAAATTTAAAATTTAAAATATAAATTTATTTTTATAAATTTCCTAATAAATTTTAAAAAATCAAATATAATTTATTTCACTATTTAATGGATGCCATTTTCCATCTTGATGAAATATTCTTGTGACGAATTTCTTCTATTACTCATTTTATTAGTCCATCAATTGCACATATCAATGGTATTAGTCGTACTTGTATCCAATAAAATATCATCTTCTCTTTCATTCATTATTAGTTGCATATATATTTTTTCTTATTTTATTTCGAGAAACTATTATTTTGATTCTTATCTACTAATTAGTGGTGGAAAGGGATGTTAATTACCAAATACCAAATCTAGAGCTTTGAGGGTTTTCGTCGACAATTAATATTCTTTTTAAAAAATATCAATGTGACAAAAAGCTTTCTTACTAATTTCGTTCTACTTGATCATTAATTATGGTTTAGACATTAATTTGTGAGATTTTTGTGCTACAATGGTCTTCTTTTAAAACTTACTTTTAGGAATAATAGGTCCTATATTAAATTAAGGGAATTGGAACTTCAAAATCATGTGTCCAATCAAACAGAGCAACAATTTTATCAAGTAAAAATCAATAAAAATTGTAATGTTAATATTTAAATAGTCTTTTATTTATCTAGATTATTGTAAGAAATATGAATTGAGATATATTCGCTTTGATGTTAAAACTTAAGATGCCTTTAATCTTTATAATGTAACAATAAAATAATCCTACATGAGGTATTTTTTGTTTGTTTTGTATTGGCTAATGTTATATCCATGAAATGCAAGAGTGAAAAGATTACGTTGGGGCACTCTATTGTGGTACAAGTAAAAAAGTAAACTATGAAAATGATATAAAATCACTTACTTTTATTTATTGGAAATATTAATTTTTATAAGATGATACGAATATATCTTTGCTATTTAACTTTATCATCTTATATTAATAACTTAACATTGAGATGGAGATGAAAAAGTTTTTTTTCTATAAGACTTTTGAAGACAATTATCTAAAGTATCTACAAATTTTTTATTTTTGAATCAAATTGTTATTATTTTCTTTAATTTTATAATATAAGAATTTTTTTCATTAAATATAGATATTTAAATATAAATGATAAAATAATTAAAGTGAAAATGAAATTTTATATTTTTAATTATGAATGATAATTTAATTCATTTGCATTTCATTATATTTTTAAGCATTATCCAATTATATCCTTAAACCTAAGAAAGTGTTTATTTTTCAAGACTGTCTATCATTTTGTAAATATAAATGCATTATTTTCAAGTTTAAATTTGATAATTACATACAATTTGAAAATAGTTTATGAAGATATCGGTCATCCATTTTCACTTAAAAAATTTTAAAAAAGGAATTTAATATTTTTTGAATAATACCTTTATATTTTGTTCATATATTTATTTAAAATTTAATATTATTTTATAATTATAATTTCAAAATAAATAAATAAATTAATTCGTGCATTGCACAAGTCACAAGCTAGTATATAGTATATTACAACCTATAAAGTTAAATGGTAAAAATTGCTTATGTGGACAGTTAGGTGGAAGGCTTCGTTTTTAACACATAAAAAAATTTCTAAAATTTCTCTAATAACATGTAAAATATTTATTAATTTTAAGCTATTTATCAAAAAATATATTTAAAATTTTATTTAATTATCCAAAATTTTCAAATTTCAAATGAATAACCATTTCTTATATATTACTTAGTTATCCAAATATATATCTAGATGGATAATTTTTAAATTGTTAGTAACAACATCTAATTTAGATATATTATTTTTTAGGATTTTCTAATAATCTATACATATATCTTTTTAAAATTAAAAATTTCATAGATATATTATTCTTTAAAATTGATTTATAAAATAATTACATTTAATAAATTATTTAAATTCAAAAAAAAATCTATGAAAATTTGAAAATTTTGAATTTATTTTACATTTTTAAATTTAGCCAAAAATTAAGAATATATATATATATATATGCATTATAAATTTTAAATACATATCTTCACTAAAATTGATTAGATTTATTTTTTATTAATTTGAATTTGAAAGACATATTTTATTGTTTAATTTCTTTATCATTAGATTGTTTTCAACTATGTATCTGAAATAACAATAAAAGGCATCAATAAAAATTTTATATTATTTCACTCATAGTCCTAATCACCCATCATTTTTTTTTGTGTATCATTTATATATTTATGAAATAATCAGCTGATTTGTGTTTTATTAGATGATTCTAAGGAAGATCTAGAAATTTAATTGTTTAAAGTAAGAGGAGACTAAAGACTTCTTTTATATATATATATGTGTGTGTGTGTGTGTGTGTATTTACCTTCATATCAATGTCATTTTTCTATTTAATTGAGCGGTAATTGGATTATTAATAGCAACCAAACAACAAGGTATCATATTATATATAATATAAATGGCCTGTTAAAATTTTTTTTTGGTTCATAATTTTTTATATTTCCTCTTCATCAAAATCGTAACACTCATTTTATTTATGAAAAATTGAGATAAACTGAAATTCAATTTGATTTATATCTTTTTTATTTTTTGGATTTTTTCTTTCTCCAATATTATTTATTGTATATTTTAAATTTTATTAATATTTTATCTAAAAACTATTTTTTATTATGACTTGATATCTTAATTATATTATTTATATTTTAAATATGTAAATAATTAAATAATATTAATTTATAATTTTATTAATATTTAAATAAAATAAAAATGGTCTGTGCATCGTATGAATTATAAACTAGTTTATACCTAAACAAACCTTAATATAAATTAATCTTTTATTTATTTCAAATAAAGGCTTATATGAATACAAACGCAAAGATAAGAGCTTATTTGAGTAAAATATAAAAATTTATTTCAATAAAATTAAATAGCTGAAGGACTTTTTTAATATTTTAATTATGAAATTATTAAAAAAAAAGGTACACAACCTTTTTATGTATGGTTAAACACTTTTATGGGCTTTTCTTTGTTCTCAAATGTGCTAAGCTTTTTTTTTTTTTTTTTAAGGGCTCTTTTCCTTGATCTCTCTGAATTTATAAGCGAAATTAAACTATTAATATGTATTTTATTATGATACAATTTTTAAAATTAATAAAAAAAATTATTAGATGAACAAATGGCAATTATATCTAATGTTATATGTGAAATTTAAAATTTTCAATATTAATAATATATAAAATAATAATATTCCTTAATAAATTATTTTTGTTGTAGTTTGGACAAGTGTTGCATTTTTTCTCTTAAAAGAACAAATGCATTATTCATTTCAATACCTTATAGTGAAAGTACTACTTTTGTAGCAATGATTAAAATATTTGTCACTATATTATATACTATATATGTAACTTTTCATTAGCAACAAGTACATATATGATAACATTTTAAAGCCGATGAATAATTCAAAGAAAGTGAAAAGGCTTGCTTTCTTTCAGCAAATATATTCCAAAGCAATTGGTCCCCAGTTTTCCATTGCACATCATTGATCAACATTTATCTTAAGTACTCTAAGTAATCAGTATAAGCATAATTAATTAATATTTTACCCACAGCTAGGGAGAGAATCATGGAAAGACAGCTAGGTCTCTAATCATAAATTAAATATTACATGCATTAATTTATGAAGTGAAGTTGAGAAGAGAGAGAGAAAGAATTAAGGGTCCCTATAGTGCGTTCATCATATGAAGATTCGTATTCAATTTATGAGAAATTATTTATTTTAACTTAAAAATTTCATAATTTTATTTTATTAAAAATATCATATAAATATATATATATATTTAAATATATATATATATATATCATAACAAATTTTCGTAATATTTTGACGCGAGATTGAAATGTGATATATCATATATCAAAATCTCTATTTTTAAAAGTTAATATCGAGCAAGTTTTAGATTTAAATGGACCATGATGATTAGAACATTTGTTTAATTTATGCTGATGTGATCATGTTCGATGATAATTAACTCCACATTTGCCTCAATAATGTACCTATACCTAGTATTACTTTTTGTGTATTTATATACTCGAAATTTCACCCATTTTCATTTTACAAAAGGTTCAACAATATTAAACCAATCCAAGAAATTTGTAAGAGAAGGCCCTCTGTCAAAAAGTTTTACCCGAAGATCTAAGATTCGAAATAGTATTTAACTAATCAATGAGGGTTGGTAGAAGTGATAAGGGATGGATGTTAGATGCATTAGCATTCAGATTTGAATTCTCTCGATCTATTGTGATAAATAATTTATAAATTTAAAAAATTCATAAATAAAAATTCAATATATCCGTAAATCCTAATTGAGTTAGTATGTGATAATTTTTCCTACTCTTATAGTCTTAAACTTTCTCTCAAAAAAGAAAATATTTAACTATTCGAACAAAATTAAATTTTTACAATCCACTCCTTAAAAAATGGAAAACCTAGAAAATAATAATACACACGAGAATATAGAAACACTGGGACAATGGAGGAATAGAGGTGCCATGCACAATTAATGATAGGCTTAATTATAAAAAGACAAAGGTAAATAAATAAAATATTGTCCACTAGCATTAAAGCTTTTTCCAATTCTCCACTGTTTGTCGCAGAAAATGTTGAAACATTGTTGCATGCAATGAATTAAGCCAAAAGCTTCTTAATTATCTCTCTTTTTTCCCTGCAGGGACGAAAAGTTTTACTAAGGTAATGTTCTTTTGTGTTTCCAAAAAAGAATAAAAAGGTACCATGCAAGGCTTAAATTTGGGTAGCTGCAGTTGCACCCTTTGGCCGACATATTCTGAAGAACAGGACTTTCTAGCAAATGTTCATGGGTCTAGTCTATCGTAGTCGGCAACAATTTTTAAAAGATTTATACGTTAATTTGATTGATGACATGTTTTAAGTTAAAAATCCAATCTAAAGGTTCATATTTAAACATCTAACTTAAATATTTTATACTCATTATGTTCATCGTGAAATAAATTTTTGTGTGGATTCAATGATTTCTAATGCGAGTCATCAACTATTAGATTTTTATAAAATTATGGTTCTTTTTGATGGAATGAAGATATTTTTGTTCAATAATCTGATGTTTGCGATAAGTTAATTAATTAGTAGATTTATAAATGGATTAATTCAAAAGTGTAGTCAGAAAATTTTTTTAATGGAGTCATATTTCAACTTTCTTTATATAAATATGATATTATATATACATTATATTATTGAAAAAATATTATATTAAATCTTATAGTTTTAAGTTTAGAAAATTACAAAATATATTATCTAGTTACTTTGTTAAAAAGTTAGTGTACATATAAAAGAGAAATCAATAAATAAATTATTAACAATCAATCAATCACCATAAGATAATATATTTAAAAAATGCTACATTTTATATTTTATTAAAATATTTTTATTAGTGGTCAAATTATACTGAATAAACAATTTATAATCATATATATATTATATAATATAAATATAAGACTTTTTAAGAAATTTTTTATCCTCCTTTTAGATTTTAACTAATTTTAGTGGGATCATTATGAGTAAATTACACAAAAATCTATTAAAACACTCATAGTAAATTAATTTTTTTTTTTTTTTTTAAATTGAGTGAGATCAATTGACCCTCAATTTTATATGTGGCTACACCACTGTGGTTTATAGACTTATAGTCACTAATAATTCAATATTGATGAATATATGCACGGCTACATAATGTGTGCATTTAAGAAATTTTTTATCCTCTTTTTAGATTTTAACTAATTTTAGTGCGATCAATATTAGTAAATTACACAAAATGTATTAAAATACTCATACTAAATTAAGTTTTTTTTTTTAAATTGAGTGAGATCAATTGGCCCTCAATTTTATATGTGGCTACACCACTGTGGTTTATAGACTTATAGTCACTTATAATTCATTATTGATGGATATATGCACGTCTACCTAATGTCTGCATGTGTTCATGCGCATGATTTCATTGTTGAATTATTTTTTCTCAATGTATATGTATGCCAAGCTAATTCTTTTTTTTTTTAAAATTTTCTCTTATTCTATTTTTTCTTATATATTTATTTAAATAAATAAATAAATAAATAGAAATGGGAGTTCCAAGGGAATGTGATGTTTTACTCGTGGCTAATTGCCCAATATATACTGTTGGAAGAAGAAGAATCACTGATATAAACCTTTCGGCAGAAAAAAAAAATGGTGAAAGGAATGGCAGAAGTGAAGGAAAAAGAAAGTGGAATAAAACGCATGGTTTAGGGTGGAATATAAAGAAAAGAAGTTTAAGGGTTTCCATTTGTAGAAACCCCACTCTCTTATCACTACTTATTCATATAAAGAAAATGAGAAATTGACACCCCAACTCGATCTCTTTCTTTACTTTGAAATGATCCTTCACCACTACAGCAATACCCTTTTGTGGTTGTGGGTTGTGGCACAATATTAATGTGAGTGGTGGTGGAGTTCCTTTATGCTTCAAAAGTCCAACCCTCATCCTTAAAATATCCCTAAAATCAGTAACAAATTCATCAGTGAATGGTTAAATTGGGAATTAGTCTGAAACAAACGCATCTCATGAATTTCTCCCTTTTTTTTTAACCTTTTATGCAAAAGTCCATGAGTAGTACTACTAGTCCCTATCCCTAGCTTGGGAATGTTATATATATTATTAGCAGGATCATCAGCTGAAAATTCTGTCTTTCCATTATGTCAAAGAAGAGCACAAAAAATGAGGGGACTGCTTAAGTGGAGACCCACAATTACATTATCAAGCTTTTCAATTTCTCCGGGGGTTAAACTACACCAAACAAACAAATAAAATAACTACATGTATGATAGGAGAGACCCACATTATAGTTTCTTTCCAAAGATATGTACTTCCTTATGATTCCTTGTTGATATGGTATTTTTTGTGTGTCTTAGTTAGAGGAAAGTGAAGAGAGATTGAAAGTGAGATGACCCACATTTGTAGGTAAAAAATACGGTCAAAAGATATTAAAGTTGGTTTTTCGAGACACATTTCAATACTCAAATCATAAAGTATCTAGATTTTTAAGGGGAAGAAAGTGAAATGTGTTAAGGAAGCTATTATGAAGGGAAAGTGCTTAAATCTTAAGTTCTTATATACTTAGGTCTCATTTTTATCTTATTTATGAGATGAAAGGTGATGATTTAATTGAAATAATTAACAGTTAATGATAAATTTACATGGAGTTTGGGAATGTTTCACGTGGATTGTTGTAAACTGTATTTAATGATTTAAGATAAACGTAAACTATATTTAATGATCACAATAAATAAGTTGAAAGTGAAGTGTTCATTTTTTAAGAGATGCTTTTCCGGGACACTAGTGAAAATGTTGAGCGAACCTTTCCTTAGCGAGGGGCAAGCTAGTTCTTGAGGTATTGTGACGTAATAGTTGGACGTATACTAATTAAGCAATTTAGAAGGTTGATTTCATTGATCGAGTAAATGGACATAACACTCCTAAATTTATTCTCAACTTATATATAAAAATTCTCCTTTTGTCTTTGTGATCTATTGATGAAATATTAAATTTTAATTTCAATGATCATGGTTCAACCATGTTAACCTCAAGTACAAAAAAAAAAAAAAATTCTCTTTCTGCCTTGAGTCACTTTATTGGGTTTCCCTTTCCTTGAGTCGAAGAAATTAATCAAACCCTTTGGCCTAATGTTGTCTGGATATCTATTTCCAAGGCATTGCACCAAGGAAAAAAAGGATCTGAGCATATAACGAGTATATACAATGTTGTCTAGATACATAAGCCATGTCCCATACGTACTAATAACCAATATTTCTCCCTAGAGGATGCAGTAGTGTGGGAGACCCAAAAAGAGTCTCTCTCCTATAGCGAGTTCTCAGTTACCAGTTTTGCTTGAGAGCATGCAACATCAGTGTGAGAGGGCCCTAATGAACATCCCATACTTTAAATTTCAGATATCTCTCTAGTTTTCTGTTAACAAAGGCAGCTATTCTATTCTGTTCACTTTGACTGGTGCCTGTTATAAATTGGTAATGGCCCTTTTTTTTTTTTGTTATAAAAAAGTTTGTAGCTTAAGAAATAAGAGAAAGAATTAAAAGTGTTGGAATTCGAACCCAAAACCTGTTAAATATCATTGCGTGATTCCACTGAGATAAACTCTGAGTTCATTGTTGTAAGGCCTTTAGTACTTGAAATTTTGGTGTGGCTCATAGTATATGCACAACAAAGGTGCAGTGGGAAATGTAATACTAGGCACATCATTTGCATTAAATGTGCCAAAATTGAACTTATGCCATTAAAGAAAAGATTTTATAGTAATTATAGTAAAAGTATGTTGGAATGGCTCACCTTTGAGAAATTTACCCTAATAGTAAAGGTTCTGTCCTGATGGTATAGCTGAGTGTCTAGCTTATTAGATTACAGAACAGAACATGTAAACTTTTTCTCTTTTTTCAAGTTCCACTTTCTTAACCTCACAACCCAACTAAATGGATCTCAAGATAGTTTGAGGGTGCTTTTCAGCACTATAAATATGGGGGCTTCTACTTCATTGCCCAATAAGAAGCCTTCTAAACGACAAAAGAAGCATATAAGCTTATCCACTCTTATAACAACCAGTCTCCATTCTTCAGTCTGATCCACTCCCTGCCCCTGTTATCTACTAATCTCGGATGGCAAAACTGTCAGATCCTCTTGTTGTGGGGAGAGTGATTGGAGATGTTATTGATGCTATCTCCCCATCTGTGAAAATGACTGTCACTTTCAACTTCAACAAGCAGGTATATAATGGCCATGAGTTATTTCCGTCCTCAGTAACCAACAAGCCTAAGGTTGAGGTTCATGGAGGTGATATGAGATCCTTTTTCACCCTGGTAACTACACTTTTCGCTTCTTTTCTTTTGTTTTCTTTTTCATCTGTTTCTAGGCCATATGATCATAAAAGAGTCATCAATCATCTTTTTACCTTGCAGGTAATGACAGACCCAGATGTTCCTGGTCCTAGTGACCCATACCTGAAGGAGCACTTACACTGGTAGATAATATTTCCTTTAAAATTTTCTCTTCATCAAAACTCATACAAAATATATGAACCTTTAACGCCTTCTATCTTATACTCTATGTAAGTTAGGTCAGCTAACAAGGCATGATTCAACTGAGGCAGGAATACATAGAGAATTAATTTGGCACATTAAGCATGTACCTACAACTACAAATAATCCAAATCCCAAAACTACACACAAAAAAATATACTTTCCGTAGGACAGTTGACACTCTATATATGTGTATATTGACTGTTATTTTTAGGGTTCATGAGTTCCTGATTTTCAGTGATAAAGCTAGAACAAAGGTAACAAGTTTCAACAAAACAAGAAGAGAAAATCAAACTAAGACCACAAACATTTAAGCAATCTACTGATTATTTGTACTTGAAATGACAATCTCACAGGATAGTAACAGATATCCCCGGGACAACAGATGCTACATTTGGTAAGTCCCTTCATCCTGAAAGAGTGAGAGCATATGATAGACGATGAAGAAACAGGAACATGACTAACTTTTATGGTTTTATATGTATATATGCTCTATGAATTAAACAACAGGAAGGGAAGTGGTGAACTACGAAATGCCGAGGCCAAACATAGGGATCCACAGGTTTGTGTTCCTCCTTTTCAAGCAGAAACGCAGGCAAACAGTGATAAGCACACCATCATCACGGGATCATTTCAATACCAGAAAGTTTGCAGAAGAAAACGAGCTGGGCCTTCCTGTTGCAGCTGTCTATTTCAATGCTCAAAGGGAAACAGCTGCAAGAAGACGCTAAAATAAGTGGTGCAGATGGATCGTGATGTTTGCCAAGTCTCTTCACTGTACCAATGTGCCAGAATTAAAAGATATGTAGTCGTGTCCATGTACAATGTGGCTAAGAATAAAACACGGTGGGGGCTTTTGTTAGGGATTATGTAGCAATTTGACTGGAAATAATCTAATTCAAAAGACTAGGTCTCTGGTCTTCTTATTATCTCAAGGTTATGCTACTTTGTAATTTCAGTTGTTGGGAAAAACATTTAAAAGAGAGGTATCTTCCATTATATTTTTCTTTTTCTTTTTTTTTTTAATTTATTCTCATTTCCCTGCCAAACGCACGTTGGTTAGTTATAATTTATGCTAATTTTTCAATCAACGCCCTTTGCCTCTTTTGTATTTGGGGAAAATCCATCTTTTCTTTGGCTTTGATTGATGTCTTGACTATCTATTATTAGGTGTCAAAGACTAAATATTTACCTACAAAAAGTAACCCCTAGTTTAAATTCCATTTGCTTTTCCAGGCTTTGGTCATTTGTGGTTAATTTTGGATTCAAGCCCAACAAATTTGACTTAAATCTAGTAAGATTTGCTGTTCTTTTGTTGTGTTATTTCAGAAAGGAAAAGGTTGATTAAAGAAATCTCCTGCAGAATAATCATTTGAGTCACTGAACATCACTTGGACTGTAATCCAAAGATGGAAGAACCACTTTACTTATGCATTAACTGAAGAACAAGAACCAACTGAAGTTTGTAGATTTTTCCATAACAAGAACTAGAAATGCCACTGACTGTAGTAATTCAACCTACTAAGAGAAACTCTCACGTTTTCTTTTTTTCTTCCAGGCTCTGGCCATGTGGGTTATGCCAAGTTTTATCATATTGACAAGACAAGCCCTGTAAATTCAATCTGAATGTGGTAAGAATAGGCTTACCTGAATTTATCATATTCTTTAGAGTGAACAATGAAAAGAATAGATGTTTTCTGCAGAATAATCATTTGAATTCTCAGATTATTACTCGATCTGTATTGTAAATAAATACTCGAACAACCAATTTACCTAGGAAACAAACAAACACGCAAACACTTATCCACACAAATAAGAGAACAAGCTTAAAATAAAAATAAAAATAAAAATACATAAATATATTTATTTCAGTACAATTTAAAATGTCTTAATTCAAATCCAATTCACTAACAAAAATAATTTTTATAACTGTGAGATTTTTAGAATGAGAAAGATCATAAAAAAACTCTTTACTCAAAAACTTAACTGAAAACTTAATTATACTATTTTAATAACATACTTAACTATTTTTTTGTTGGTATCTAACTATTAGATATTACCAAACTAAAATCAAAGCATTTCATTTATAAGGTTGAAATCCCTTATAACTTTATTAAACTTCCCAAGATTTAAGACAAACTCTTAACTTTTATAACTTCATTCAACTTTCGATATATGATTAAAAGATTCAAGGCAAATCTTAACAAATCTTCTATTGACTTGAATCTTCAAACACTTTAACAATATTTGCAAAATTGACATACTTACTCATCTTCTTTTTCGTCGTCATAGGAATCCCAACCACTGAGACTACATCGAACATGTAAAAGTAATTCTTGATCCTATTTCCTTTGTAAAACCACACTATCATTTTTGTACACTTTGCACCAATCATTTCGTTCATAGTATGTATATCAACGAGAAGTTAACTCACCCAAGTTAATTAAATTGTAGCTATAAGTTGGTACATACCTTACATGATGAAAATTTTTAACAACACCATCGTGAAATCTAAGGTGGATACTCCCAACACCTTAAATCTATATTTTTTTTTTGTTAGAAACCACCATATTGCCACACTTTACATTATCTTCCAACTTCATAAAATAACTTTTATCATTATAGATATGGACAAAAACAACTTAATTTAAAATCCAACCTTTATCATCCTTCAAAGTATGAGTTTCATTCATTCAAGTTGTCAAAAAGAAATCATCATCAAATATAATAGTAATAGTATCACGTTATTCTTCATCTGATTTTTTCTCGTCATTTGTCCTTTTAAAGACAGTCATATCCCTTTTCAGTTTCTTGCAACGCACTTAAATATGTTCATTCTTACCATAGTAATAACATTGTATATCTCTGTAATCTTTGTCACTTAACTTTGATATCTTTCTTAATATATCAATCCTCTTTTAAGTCTTTTTTAGATAAGAATCCTTTATAGTTAGTACATTCCTTCAAAGTGATAAGTTTTCTGTTCCTATAAACTTTTTATTCTCAAGTAATAGAGCAATCACATTATCCAATTTCAAAGTAAACATACTCACCAAAAAAGTCTGAACTAAAACTTTATAGAACTTGGGTAAAGATAACAACAAAATTAAAACTTTCTTTTCATATTCTAACTTATCAATAGAAATAACTAATGATTGAGAAACTTGTTGGAAATAGTGACTCAAATCCCATAAGAGATTTGTTTGAAATTTATTAGCTATTACTTGATAATAAAAAGACTTGCAGAAGAATAATTTTAAGAGGAAAAAGATTTTTAATAGGCAAGTTTGACTTGTAGATGAAGAATTCTAAAAGGAAAAAGATTTTTAATAGGCAAGTTTATATGATTATAAATAGATGGAGTCTTTATATGTTTAGGTATTGAAAAAATATGTAAGAGAGTTATAGGATTTTATAGGTAAACACCTCATAAGACTATTAAAGATTTATATATTATGAGTATGTATGTTTGTTTGTGAATGGATTAGAGGAGACTGAGAATGTCTATATAGGTATGATGCATGGGTTCATATGGATATATGTTTGATTGAGTTGAAAGATTGCATATGAGTTTGTGTTTGTTTGGGTTAAGAATACTCCGTAGGACTAGAAGAGATTGAAAGAGCCTATAGGTATTGATTGTTGAGTGAGATTGATTTGATGTATGTTTGTAATTTTTACAACTAGTGAATCTTATTTCTCATCCATTGACGTAGGTCAATTAGATCAAATCACGTTAAATTATTATCTTTTGTGTATTTGATTCATTGTTTGATTATGCTTCTGTCGACTTGAATTAAATTGAGGCTTTTGACTTAACAAGTGGTATCAAAGCTGAAAGTTTAAGATGTGAGAAGAGCTAAAAGTTCGAGTTATAGGAAGAGACAAGCTTAGAGGAGATCGATTCAAAAGAAGAGTTCAAGTTCATATTTTGAAAATTGAAGATCAGTTTGCATGAAGCGTAAAAATGCACAAGAGAAGATAATTATGAAACTTTCACTACAGGTGAAACCAAGCATGTCTAGCATGAAAATAGATGATTTGATGAAATTTGAGTCAATGTGAAGATTATTGAGAATAGTAACTCAAATATCATAAAAGATTTATTTATGATTTGTTAGATATTACTTGATAGACAAGAAGACTTACAAAATAAGAATTCTAAGAGAAAAGAGATTTTTAATAGGTAAGTTTGACTTGCAGAAGAAGAATTCTAAGAGAAGAGGGATTTTTAATAGATAAGTTTGTATGGTTATAAATAGATGAAGTCTTTACAGGGTTAGGTATGAAAAAAATGTAAAAGAGTTATAAGATTTTATAGGTAGACACCCCATAAGACTATTAGAGATTTACGTCTTATGAGTGTATATATTTATTTATGAGTAGATTAAAAGAGATTGAGAAGATTCACATATGTATGATGTATGGGTGTATATAGATATGTCTTTGATTGTGTCAAAAGTTTGCACATAAGTTTGTATTTATTTGGGTTGAGAATACTTTATAGGACTAAAAGAGATTGAGAGGACCTATGGGTATTGATTGTTGAGTGAGATTGATTTGATGTATATTTGTAATTCTCTATAACTAGTGGATCTTGTTTATCATCCATAGACGTAGGTCGACTGAATCGAATCAGATTAAATTATTATCTCTTGTGTGTTTGATTCATTGTTTGATTATACTTTCGCTGATGTGAATTAGATTGAGGCTTTTGGCCTAACAAAACTAACTTATCAAACCCATTTAAATGATTATGAAGACTTGTACCTTCTTTCATCTTCAGAGAATATAAATTTATCTTCAAATATAATGTCAATGACTTTGACATGTAAACGCTTCCAAACTTATCTTACAAACGTTTAAAAGTACTCTCAGTTAACACACTAGACTTTATCTCTAAGATTAGAGACAATCTACTAGAACTAATAGCTTTCTTTTGAATTTTATTTCAATTATTATTTGTCATTCCTTCAAGTTTATTATTCTCTAATACTTGATCTAACTCTTGTTGTACTAATAGATCTTGAATAATACTTTGTCAAAGTGTAAAATTCTTTTTTACATTAAATAAATGAATCTCAAACTTAGGCATACTAAACATACTTTCCGATATTTTGAGATACTTGCATTGTATTCATGAAACTTACTTGCATTGCATTTATGAAACTTACTTGCTCTATCTTCATTGAACTCAAATTCCCATTTTTAGGGTTTGCCTTTTCTCACTTCTCGAATCTCGCTCTTATATCATTTATAGGTATCAAACAAATACACACAGCACTCACATACAAACAATAGAGCCAACCTAAAACAAAAATAAGAATATAAAAATATATTTGTTTCAGTCTAACTCAAAATGACTTACTTTAAATTCAATTCACTAACAAAATAAATGTTCATAGACTTTTAAAATGAGAAAAATTACTCTAAACTTGTTACTTAAAACTTAACCAAAAGCCTAATTAAACAAATTTAATAGTCCACTAATTTAACTATTCTTTTAGTGTCTAATTATTTGGAATTACATGACTAAAACTAAAATATCTTATTTAAAATAACTTTACTAAACTTCTTATGTGAAATTTAAGACAAATTTTCAACTCTTATAACATCACTTAATTTTTGATGTGGAATTAAGAAATTTAAAGTAAACCTCATTATTTATGTACACATTGACTGAAGAACAAAAATCCAGTTAAAATTGCATAAAAACAAAATTCGAACTTACTACAATAATTCTAGCCTAGATGAGCAAACC